CAGTAACATTCATGGAGCAAATTCTAGTTCCACTAAAATTGAGACTTGTCTTCACCTGTAAATGAGAAAAGCAGGTGATGCTGTGTTAATGCCTTTGATTGGCCGTTTCTCAGAAATGATGTTGATCTGATGATCTACTCAGTTGGTCTCATCTTCTTTGCATTTGTTGCATGGAGTCGCCTCAGAGGACATTTCCTCTAAATGTTTATCTTAAGGCTTCAACTTTATTACAGGCTGCTGCTGCTCGGCTGCTGCTGCTCAGCTGCTGAAGGACAGTGGACCACAAGGATTCAGCCTCATGGTGACAGTGAGTGGAAAAAAGGTGCTCGAAACCATGAATGGATTGAGGCTTTAACATGGTTTTGATGAGGTTTTGCGTCGGTTTGTAACAGCTCATGTGTTTGTCGCTGTATCTTAGTTGTGAGAAAGATGTGTAGATGTGTAGATACACCTGTTTATCTCAGAATGAGGCCAGAATTCCCCAGCATCATGTTTCAGCTTTGTACTGATGAAAGAAACGTTCAAAGGCTTGTGGGACACAGGTTAGTTTGGAAGTGGGGCAGGACGTGTTCCTCTGTGGTAGAAATAACTGTGTGTATACTCAGTTCAAAGATTCAACCTGCTAAAGCTCCTTCATCTGGTCAGCTAAAGTAAACATGATGTTAGATAACAAGGATGGCACGTCCCATTTCACACACTTATAGAGGTACACATTCTACTGAGTAATAATTTTTGGCATTTGTAAAATTAATAAATTCGATATATTTCTAAAACACATTTTGATTGGGTGATTTCCACCTGTTTTGGTTGTATTAAAATGTTTTTTTTAAATTCAGCTTTGGTCTAACAGTATAAATAAAGTCTAATAAATCTTGTGGCACCCTTTGTCTGTTATAAAGGTTGATACAATACAAAGGGCGCTTACAGAGCACTTAAATCACCAATGCCAATCAAACCTAGACGTGGTTGTCGAAGTCTTTTAGTAGAAATGTAACAATATAAGAGGACGTTTCTGTCTGATAGCTTTGATGAATTGTCTTAAAACATAGTTTAAACTGCATCCACACCTTAAGCCAATGAGGTGTGGATGCGGTCCATCCTTCCAAGGAGTTTTTGTGTAAATCTGCTGATAAATAAGCGAACAGACAGACACGTGTTGGTGGAGGTAATGTGTCTTGTTTGTGTAGTAAACACAATCTTGTGCTACAGTTCTTCTTACTCCTCGGCCTTCACACCTTTCCTTCCCACAGCTCACTAACCGCATCCTCACACATCCTCAGAGACACTGTCCATCTGCTGAAATATTTACCTCAGGTAGCAGACTTGAAACACGGCGCAGAGCATTTCAAACACTGCTGATGTCTGGTGCACATCGAGCTGAACAGACTTTAGCAGCCGCTCTTCATTCCACTCATTTCTTCAGTGTGAAGCTCTGACATTTCTTATAACAAGATTTCTGTCTGATTACTGCATCAGTGTATAAATTGTGTGTAAATAAACATCGTCTTTCTTTATCCCAAACAGTCCTGGTCCTCAGTTTTTATCACAAGCAACAAAGGTCAAAGTTGTTTGTTTTCATCGGTGTTTGTCTGTTTGCTACCAGGATTACACAAAAACTACTCAATGGATTTCCATGAAATGTTGTGTAATGGTGGAGTATGATCCAAGAAAGATGACATGCAATTTCGGTGTGGATCTGGATCAGGGTTTGGATCCAGGAATGTTTTAATTCTCTTTTTCTAACATTGTGAGAATGTTTTTCATCATGTTCTCGATTTCCCCAGAGAACAATGGATCAAACATGAATCTTGATGAAAAACATCAGGCTCGTTAAGGAAGGTGATATTTATGAGTGTGGGCAATTTGCTGCAGATCCAAATAAAAATCTGGATCTAATGAATTCAATGTGGTTTAATAAGGGGAGTGTTGGGTCTTGGCGGAAGTCTGCACTCTGAGTGTCACACTCACTGAGTGTGACTCTGGTTAATGATTAGTGATAAAGCATTTAACACAACTGGACATATTTCCTTCTTTCTAAACAACTCATGACAAAATACGATCAGCACCTTAAATGAATGTCTTCACTGCATTTATTGTGTGAGTGTGAAGAGTCACGGATGTAAACTGTAACTTGACTGGTCGACAGAGGCAAATGGCTGTAAGGCATTTATGTTATTGTGCTTCTACTTTCAAACTGTAAATAACAAGAGGTTTCAGATCAGTGTTGTGTTATTCTACTGCTTTAATACACACATCACTGCATGAAAGCCTGGTGCTGACCTCTGATGCAGACTTGATCCATTGAATGGAAATAACACGAAGATTATTCACTTGATCAGTGAGTAAAAAATACAAACTGTGTCAGAAACACATTGATGCTGCTTCAGTAGTTTATAGCTGAACTAGAGATTAAGAAGAACATGGTGTGAAAAGTCACGCCATCATCAGTACAAATTAATATATTTATATATAAAATCACAAGTGCCGGCTAGGTGAAGCTAAGACACTACAGTATAAATAAAACAACTTAAAAATGCCCATAAGATATTAATACAAAGTTTGATGGCAGACTGCGCTGGCTAAGTTTGTTGCTCTTGTGTGTTTTCTATAACTTGGACGTCTGCACATCTGTCAGTCTGTCTGACTGCGCACATACATTAGTCTGCAGGAAGTCCAACACCAGTGGAGCAACAACCTCAGCACCATTCAAATGGATGTGATGATCACCAGGTACTTTCACAACTGTTTGCTGAAAGACAGATGCACACAAACAGTAAGAAGAGTGTTAGAGATGAAATACATGTATTTTTAAAAATCCTGCAGTAAAGGAGCAAAAATATCATTTATTATAATTTCATGATCATGATTCTGGCCACTTGGTGAATGTACAGCCGGTATTCTTACTCTCTTGATCCTGATTTTGATCAGATTCTGACTCTGTAGCAGCTAAATGCTTCACTATGTTCACCATCAAGTTTCCAACTGTGGCTGTTGGTGTTTCACAGGAGGTTTTTCCAGGTTTTTATTTGAAACAAGCTGCGGACAAGAGATTTCTTGTCTTATCATTTATCTAGTCCTAGAAAATGCATTGAGTTGATAACAAACCTCCGGCAAGGTGGAGGACAGTCTTATTAAACACTGAGAGCAAATATACAGCTGAATATCAAAGACATCCCATAACGTGAAATATGGGGGAGGTGGCATGAGATTACTGCAAACCAAAAACTTAAAAAACACTATGACATTGATATTATTGTTGACCCCAATCTAATCATTAATCTTATAAATGTACAAAATGTAAAAGTCACTATCAAACACATGCATGAAACAAAAAAGAAAACTTAAAAAGCCAATGAACTTTAACTTTACTGAGCAGAAGAAGAAGAAAAATAAATAACTGCAAGTCTGGCAACAAGGATTATTAGTCATAGACTGTATGTAAAGATGGACGACGCATCAATAGCATCAGTCAGAATATTACTGTGTTTTATCCTGACTTGTGCAGGGTGTACCCCGCCGCTCGCCCAGTGTTAGTAGGGAATGGTACAGATTGAAAGATAATCACAGAATAATCATTGATATTCTGACGTGACAAACTTTTCTTTTGCTATATAATGAAACTTTGTTCTTCTCCACATCCTCTCTCACCAGCAGCACTGGACCAGGTACAGTATGTAGGTCAGTGTTTAAGTTCACAGCTATAACAAATGATGCTGCCTCTGAGACACTGAGCTTTTTACTCCACTGCTACTTCCGCACCTCTGCAGCTGTCTGTCTACTGGGCACAATTACACACAGGCTTAAAAGCTAAAAATAAACACAAAGACGCAAGTGCACCCACTTTACTACAGAAACTCACTCACATTTCTGTCCCTATAGCCCTGGACAAGAGCTGACGAAGCTTTCTTTCCATCTTGTTCAGCAAATACCTTCTCAAAACCGTCCTCTGCTCTGTAAAGACAAAGAAGTATATTTAGTGAGGCACAACGTGGTTCTGTTGTAGTTTAGTGCATGTAACATGGAAAAGGAAGCAGTTACAGAATAACGAGGGTGGAGGCTGTTATCCTCTTCTGGAACTCCAGACACTGCTCCAAAGTGGTGCGCACTATGTTCTTCTGTAATCACAAAGCAAAAACACAATGTACTTCATACGAACCCTTTGGGAGAAATCTAAGAAAGTAAGTGATGAGCTGGAACAGCTCAGCAGAAACCTACCAGATTGAGACGAAAGTCCCGAGTGAACACAAATCCTGCAAGAGAACAACGCATTATATTATTTCTTCTTAGAGGAAGAGCAGCAACAAACAACAGAGCAGAGAAGAGGATGATGACTGACCGCCGTCTACTTGATCGAGACCTCGCTCTAAAAGGATGTGCACAGACTGTTCAGACAGAGCTGGGTTTGCAGCCAAGAGCCTGATAGAAAGAAAATACCTGTTTTTTATAACAGTAGCACAAACAAAGTTACTAAACCGGCATAGATATGAAGGTAATACCTCTCAGCTGCCTTCTCATACGTGTAAACTCTTCTCCTCTTTTCTTCTGCCTTTTCTTCAAACTGAAGCATCTCATCCAGTCCCTGTCTGATCACTTTAGGAATTTCTTTCTGCAAGAAAATGAAGTGACTCCATTCAATATTACTGACAAGACATTACTGACAAGAGTGGATCATATTAATCATATTGGCTGCCTGTGTGTTTTAGAATTAAACACATCGTCTGTGTCATTTTGATTTCTTCTTCTTCTCCTTGCTGCTTCCCACCATGCATTGCATCTTCATGAAATAAATTTTCCACGCAAACTTAACTAAATGCACTCTGAAGTTAGGCAGCTTGTCCTTCTACCCACTCTGTGTTCTTCACTTGAAAATGGTTTTGCTGCAGCACAACGACAGATGTGTTGCAGCCACATTAAAATTCATGAAAAAAATAATCAATTGTCCATCCCTCCTGAAACTGTCTGCCCTCCAGGTGAAACTTTCTGTTCAGCTTGGAAAGAGACACTTTGGTGTCATGTGCACTGCAGGAAAGTGCAGCTGGTTAGCTCTAACATGTATGTAGCTAAGTGGTGCAGTCGGTTAATGCTAAATGTGAAATAAGGAGCTCAGGTGTGTGCTCAGGGTTTCTACCGATTTCAACAAATTTTAATTTAAGACTTTAAAACCTTTTGAAGACCATAATAAATATGAAGGGATATCAGGGTGCCATGATTACTTACACTTCCCTATATTTAAAGATAAAGTGAAGTAGCTGAGTAGAGAATAACTCTGGAAACGCCACATTATCTCAAACTACAGGCAGAGATAGCAGTTATTCATAATCCTTTGCACATACAGGCTGTGGGTGCTGAGAAATTCTGACTGAGGTTTTTTGTAGATTCAGTTATTACTTCCATGTTTTATTATAGTGTAATAATATCTGTATCCCTATAAAGAACTACAACACACAGAGATATGCATGTCTCCAAAGACCTACTATGTATGTAATATATGAACATAGACAATACCTTTAATGGCTTAAATTAAGATTATTAAATTCTAAACTTTGTCGATCTTTTTGAAGACCCTGTGGAAAAATAACTAAAATTAATAAAAAAATATATGTGAGTCAGACGTAACAATAACAGTATGAAATGATCTGGTTGGATTATAGTTTGAATCCACAGATGTATGTTTAAAGATCATTCAACACAGTCCTGTAGTGACGAGTCTCAAGGGTAAAAACTTTTAAAATACCGAATCTGTAGGTAAAAATCCATAAGAGTCCAACAGTATGAGAGCATCCACCTTCTCAGGATACAGAGCGCTAAACTGTGGAACACAAAGTAAACACAGCGGTGCAATAATGATGATAATAATAATAATAATAATAATAATAATAATAATAATAATACCAGTGTCTGTACATCATGTGAAAACTGTTTTGATTTGGTCACTTACCAATCCAGCAATGTTACCACCTGAAATTAAACAAAAGAAGAAGGTGGACACATGCAGCACATATAACATGTAACATATATCCAACATATTATTTATATGTTAATATTATAACATGGTATATTGCTCCAATTCTGCTGTGTGGCTGCACTCACCCATACTGTGGCCTATGATGGAGAATCTGTTCCACTGCAGAGCTGCGGGAGTTAATTTCACACATCATCAGCTAGGTTCAATATCTCACCACGAAACAGACTGAGTGAAACTGCGTGTTTTAAATCTATCTATCATATAATATTAATTAAGAAAAAAGTCATGCAGTCATCTTGAGAGGAATGTGATGGACATAGTTGTCTTCATCGTCTTTGTCCTCTGCTGAACTCATTGTAAGATGTGGTTGAAAGCTCCAGTAACAAATAAGTGGACCTTTGGTTTGTTTTTCATTCAATACAAAGTCAACAGTGTAGTACAGTGGAAAAAAAGCTGATTAGCATTCAACTGTAGCTACATCGCTAAAATGAAAACAACCTGATGCTGCGACATGTTTGATTAGAATCTGCAGCTAAACCTGCCGGTGTTTGAACTCACACACCGTCAGCGACTCTGCGCACGTCCATCAAATACAAGGGAAAGGAGTAGAAAACTTCAGGAGGACGATGTGAGGACAGACCGTGACCTGGCAGGTCCAACGCCACGTATCTGTACTCTGAGAGGACCGACAGAAAGAAAGAAAGAAAGAGAGAAAACATAAGATATATTCTAAGTTGAAAAACATTCTAAAGCAAATCCCTAGAGACTGTGTTCAAAACAGCACGCCATATCACAAAGGGGAAAAACCTTCCTGACCCAACCAGCTGCAATTGTGATGTCAGTGTCTTGGTAAAGGGCAGCGGTTAATGAGTGCAAGTGTCTTTGGCTTAGGCTACATCAACAATAGTGCAATTTTGTTTGAAAACACATCAATTCTGTAATGGAATCGTCTGGCGTCCAGGCCTGGTGAGTAACAGAGCCGCTAAAATGGAGAAATGCAAAACGCTGCTGGCCCTGCTTGATGTTGATAACTCAAGGGCTGCATTTTAGTCTGGACGCCACAAACAGAGACGTTTAGGAACTATGACGTAAACACTTGCTGATTGGCTCTTTTCTGTACCAATGTAGAATTTGCCAAACTGTTTACATGTTTATGAGACGAGATATTATTTGAGGAATCTGCCACTATTCCTGTGTCCAGTGGGAGGAGCACCCCTTCCTGTTTACACACGTATGCCCAGTGCAGGCGAGTTGTCAGGAGATTTTGCACGGACAGGGATTAAAACTGACACGAAGGCAAAACGCTGGAGTGGATGTAGCCGTAGTCTGCACAGACTAAAGCAACAGGTTGTGAGCGATGCATTATTTTTCATACAACTTTTGTCCAGAAAGTAAGACATGAAGCTGTTGTTGTCACTATATATACTTATTATGTGTTCACATTACATTGAATTAAAACAGAGTGAAGGAAGATTTACTCTTCGGCTTCAGTAGGGGTATAAGGAGTTTAAACTGATCTGCTGACAGCAGTGTTAACATTTAACATGATGCTTTTAAGAGAAAATAAAAAAAACATGAATTACCTTTGGGCAGCAGGGGGATGAGGGAGTTAAAGGAACCACAGTTGTCAGCCCAGCCGTGCACACACATCACAGGACGCCCATGATCAGGACCCCACACCTTACCTCTGATCTCTCCCCATGGGACTGGAATATTGAGCTCCGACACTGGACACAACGCAACACAATCTGTTTTAGTAAGACTCACCAAAAGCTGGAGGAATAATGAACTTCCATCTTACCTCTGTTTAGACAATTATGTTTTCATAAATGTTTGTTAGTTAGAAGGATTACGCAAAACTGGATCAGTGAAGAATTTTGGTGCAGATCTGGATCAGGTTGCAGATCCAGGAATGGTGGTTTTCAACATTTTCACTGATTTCCCAGAGAATAATTCAAATCTGACATGTCTAGGGAACTCATATCTATGAGTGTGTGAAATCAGAGGCAGCTTGGTTGGATTTAAAGGGACTGTTGGGCCTGGACTCTGCTTAGTGCCATTCTTGTTCATTAATATATTAGTTGACAATGAAAACCATGTCTGAGTAAAACATTTGAAATTCTCAATGTTTCTTTTCTTCTGTTTTCTACCTTTGAGAACTGAATATCTTCAGACTGTTGGTTCAGACTAAACAGCTGATCTGTCATGGTCACGCTGGGTCAGGGCAACAGTGACTCATCACTTCACCTGTGATCGACCCTGAAAATCCTCATCAAACATCCTGAGGGTCCCTGATACTGCTTCTATGACTCATCAGAAATATGACATCTACATTCAAATAAATGCACCTATCCTGGCTCATATATCATTTACATGGAAGAGTTAGATACATATATAAAGTTCAGCTTCTTGTGTTCTCAATCTCACACTACATTTAGTTGTGAGAGTCTTTTAAATATGAAACAAACACACAAATATAGTTAAATATTAATGAGTAATAGTTGTTAACCTGTCTGTCAATAGAGCAAGAACCTACCACCTATATACATTCAAATAAACCTACTCTGCCTCCTGATATTTACATTGATGTGTCAGGGTGAGTTATGCTATGTTGTGGCTACACACACAC